TCAGGAAGACATCAGGTGCCCTCCAATATTCCAGCATAAAATAAACATTAAAAAGCTTGTTTCAATGGCAAACCATAATATCATTCAACACCTCTGTTGCCTCATTGAAATCCTCAGAATATGCTTGACACGCAATTCCCAGTCGAACAACCAATCGATGCACACTTCCTCACCCTTTTGATAAACAATATATAAAACTGAGAAGAAGCAATGACGCATACAATTCCATCTAGCTGTCCATCTAGAGCATCTCAGCAAACTATAAAAAAGGAGACATAGTTTATACCGTCCATTCCATTATCCATCAATCCTAATCTATTCCCAACACCTTGCCAATATAAGGACAACAAACTTCGAGCTACCTCAAACAAGTATTCTTCACCCAAAACACCATGTAATGCTACCCACAAATCTGAATATCAATCTCCATCCAAATGAGTCACGCTTTTATCTTACAATTACAGGCTCGTAAATACTACCAACCTTCCTACTGCAAATCTCTCAACTTTTTAGTTGCATAAGCAGCCCCAAGAGTACTAATTGCACCAATGAACAAACAAATACTAATAGCATTTGGACCATCTGTCCCATGATGTTCCCCTTCCTTTGCATTTTGAGCCAATTCTGGACTTTTACCTGGCTCCAATATACTGAAAACAATCATACTGATGAAAGTTCCAATAAATTGTGGGATGGTAGTGTAGATGTTAAGGATTCCGAAGTAGATTCCAGAAAGTTCACCAGTAGACGCAACGTCTTCTTTTTCTCCAACCGGGCCATGTTCGAGGCGGAGTAGGGAGGGTGATGAAGGACCAGTGGGTGACTCCAGCTCAATATCACGATCGGCGGTGGAAAGGCGGCTATAAGATGGGAGTCCACTCATCTTGTTTACCTCGACACCAAGGAATGCATACGGTGCCCAAGATGCGACAGACCATGGCCTAGAAGGTGTTAGTCAATGGTAAGGCAGTAGAATAAGGGTTTTTTTTTAATAGACAACTCACAATCCACAGAATGCTATTAACGAAGTTGCAAAACGAAACGACGATGCAAATGGTGCTAAAAACATAGCCGATGAAAACATCAAATGTCCAACAAACCAAGCTCCAAGAAGATCTGGCTTGTACTTGTTGTATGCTTGAATAAAACGAGCAATACTTGCTGGTGGTCGCTGAGTAAATTTGTCCTCATCAGGTGATTTGATCAATAGAGGTAGAAGGAATGATCCAAAAGATGACACGAATGAGAACACAACGAGGGACATGCTTCCAATTCTTCCAATATCTCCAAGAGCATCTTTAGATTCTTTGATCTCATGTGGAGCATCATACCTGAAGTATGTTTCTCCAACAAATGTAGTGCCATAGAATAGGAATGGAAACCATCCAATCCAACTCCAAAATTGACACCATAAAATGGCTTGAATCTTTGGAGGAACTGTCATTGTTGTTCTATATATTTGCCGTGTGATTTTGAGTAATCCAGATTGGGAATCAGAGTCTTTGCTAGATATCAAAACACGTTCCGTTACGGCCCAGGAAGTGACACAAACACAAAATATGAGCGCAAACGCCGCAATTAGAATGAGCTTTTTGAATTGTGTGTCACCCATTGAGGGACCAAACCAGGCGACAAGATCAACAGTACCAATAGCATAACCGACCAAGTGCCCCATGGCGGCCATTCTGCTAGCTAGAAGATGTCAATGAGTTTTCGGTTAAGAATGGGCAAAGTAAACTCACCCCATGCTGACCCAGCTTGTTGCTTCTGTATAGGAAGAGTATCCACGATCAGACTTCGACAACTCCATTGAACTATATTTATTAATGTCCTGATCAAGTACCTAGGCGGGGATTCCAAACTTACCTGCATTGATAGCGAAATCCACCGCATAAATTGCCAACACTGCAAAAAATATTGTACATCTCTTATTAAAATCCCCTTCTTCCACAAAATGGGATACAATTTCCTTTGTCCATCCTAGTACCAACAAGCATAATGCGACAAGTATAGAAGCCCCCACCATATATGGTCTTCTTCTACCCCATTTTGAACGCGATCGATCTGCCATTGCTCCCACAAGCGGTGCCATAATCAACCCAGATAAAGGTCCCGCAATCCATACTAAGGAAGTTTTCGATTTCGTGAGACCGAGTGAAAGTAAATATGGTGTACAATCTGTTCAGGCCAATCAGTCAGTATTCCCCATGAACTCGAGCGATGTTCAACCTACAGGTCATTTCAATCCCCCAAGTAAATCTGCACACCAAATCAGTCAATGAGATCGATTGTTATCGGTTTCTTTTAGAATTAAACCTACTGCAATCCAACCAAAGAAAAAGTCAACAATGCCATTCGCATCTGCTCCGTACTCCCCTTTATAGCCGGTTGCCCACTCCATGAAGCCATATCCGCTCTACTCTCAAAGTATCCCTCAAAATCGAGATCCCCTCCTCTAAGAACCCCTTCACTACTCTCACCCAGACCTTCTACCACACGGCTACGAACCCTATTTCTCGAGCGTCCTTGTCTTTCGTCGAATTCGAATTCCTCAGCCTGTTGTTGTCGCTCGTCAAAATTGATAGTCGTATCCCCTCTCTTGAGGTAATTGCGCTTCTGCCTCTCTCCTACTTCTCTCTTGTCGAAGGTCAAATTCGAATCTGCGGCGTCATCATCAATATTTATTGCTATAGTCATTTCGATTATATGCACATGCGCATGCGGACTTGAATACGAAATAAGAAATTCGAGTCGTATACCATTTGATGAAGTACAAACATGAGTACGAATTTCGTACGGACGTGTATGTGGAATTGCTTTTGGTGAGGAAAGGGATGAGGAATTTCAATGAACTTACTGAGCAATATGGAATGGGAAAGGTCTCACATACTACTTCCCTATTTGCTTTCCTTCTGAGATACTTCAATTGTAACACTCAATGAAAATTGAACGAGTGAACGAGTGAACGTGTGTAAATGTAACGAGAAGGGGAAGTGCAAAGGGGGTAATGAGCTTAATATGATAGATAGATAACGCTAAATTATATCTTACACATAAGGCTCCACGTACTCAGCCTTCTCTACAAGACAATTTTCTAAATACGGTACAAAACAATAATAGCTCGGAATATCTTTACTTACTTAATAAGGAGAATGAGTTTCATCGAGAGTGGATTTCAATGTTTCAATCTTCTATGGAGTACATACATACTTATACGAGCTACACCCAGAAAGACGAGGCTAGATCCGGGGTATATGGAGGTAGGAATCGGTTCATTCTTTTGATTGGGTATCTTAACAACCTGGCTTGTGCTTAGGTTGACGGGAACTAGCAATTACAAGGCTGACACTTCTAATTATAATCTTGACATCTTATCTTCAAGATCTTTGACCCAGCCTTCTACAACTTTCATATTCCCTCCAATGACCGTTTCTCCTTGTTTGATTGCTTCCTCAACTTTCTCTAATCCTTCCTGCCATTTCTTGATATCAGTTGACATTTCGACTTGTCTTTGCCCCACTCTATCCAAGTTCTCACTAGCTGTAGCAGCATCTGCGTGAATAGCTCGTAATGATCGCAACCTGTCCAGTAAAGATGGCAAGAGAGGTGCAAGATTCTCGATAGTAGGCAAAGTTCCATAAAGCGCATTGATTTTTGAAATCTGTTCTGAGTCTTCTCCATCCTCAGGGGCAGTTTCTCCTCCAGCTGATCTCAAAGCATCTTTTGCAGCTCTGGCCGATTTTCGAGACTCCTCTAGTTTTTCGGCTTCTTGTGTCAATGTTCGAACTCTTCGGCTTATGCTGTCAAGGGATGATGGCGTAGATTCGGTAAGGATTGAGACTTGTCTTTCGAGAATATCAAGAGTCGGTAAAACGGCTGTTGAGCTACTAGTAGAGTCCATTGTCGAATTAAGTCCAAGAACTTTTTCTAGAAGTGCCAATCGTCCATCGAAATCTGCTGCTTTCGCCAAAGCATGACTTTGTTGGTATATAGGTGCATATGTAACAGTGTATGTAGCAGGTTCTCCGGTTCCTTGTGAGATTTGTGATGGTCCGTTTGCTTTGATTCCAGTTCCTAAATCCCTCGCCAATCTTGCTCCAGCACTTGTGACTTGATCTCCTTGAGTGATAGATATTCCATCCAATAATTTACTTAAGGAGGCAACATCATCTCCATCGTTGGACTCTACTTCTTCACCCAAGTCCTTCTTCTCTTGGTTTCTCTTTCCAAATTCCTCCTTAACTTCCTCGATTTCACGTCGTAATCTTGCGAGTTTTCGTTCCAAGCTTTCTCCATCGTCATCATCACTGAAGTCGCCATATTCTTCTGTGCCATCTTGCCTCTTCCTATGTCGCCTGGAAGAAGCTTTGTATGATTTTCTTTTTGCCGTGACTCTATCTGAGAAGTCTACATCGCGTGCATCTACTTGTGCTGGAGAGAAATGTGAACGGGCTTCATCAGGCTGTAATCGCGCACGGGAAATACCTCCCACTTCGTCGTCGTCTTCATCAAAATCTTGATAGGAAGAAGATGTTGATTGGGAACGAGGCCTGCCAGTCTAAAGGGTGTTAGAAGGCTGAAGAGAAGGATTGTATTGAGGTGACCTACAGGCGCAGTTGAATTATCCTCTGTCAACTCAGGGGTTTCATAAATATCCGGTGCTGAATCCTAGAGGATGTTTGTCAAATGTTGAAGCTTTTATATATCCACCGAAAACATACCAAATCTGGTAATGCCGCATATTTTCTGTTGAGAGCGGCCATGATCGATATTTTGGACCGAATGCCTCTGGGCAAGGACTAGGTAGATACTGTTCAAAGCATTTGGATGTGAGATGATACCTGGTAGATGCGTAGCACACGGAATCGCGGGCCTAATTGGTGAATCCCGCATTAACAGGGATATGAAGCTTGGACCATTTATATATTGAAGCTCTCATACTCTCGTGATACCGTATCTCGAGCGTATCAATTCAGCTGTACATGTAAAGAAAGGTAGAGACTTGTCACCGTACAAACCTCCAAAAGATTTCTGATAAATGCACAATATCTTATATATTGAGAAAGCAATGAAGTCACAACTCTTGTTTTCTCATTTGGTATCTAGATAGTGAAAGTTTCCACTAAATCCAAGCGCCCATCTCAATTCACCAATCTTTCCTTGCCTTACTTTACTCATCATACCGCGACGCGATCTTCAAGATGGAACATACAAAATTGGATCTTAACGATAGAGGGAAAACACAACCACGACGTGCTGGATTGACCAAGGATTATCCTCATAACCTCTTGCAATCACCCAATCGACCAAAGAAGGAAGAACAACCCGCAATGCCAACAAAAGCAGCAACGACAACCCATCCCAATAATGTCAAGAATGCTCGAAATTCTAGCGACGTTGGCGGCGCTCAAAATGAAGCATCATGCAAGCGAAGAAACAAGGGGTCAAATAAGGAGAATGAACCCGGGTCATCGAAGTCCTCTATGATGAAGTCAATTGAAGTTGTGAACGAGGATGTTGATCGACCTCCAGATGATTCCGACGATGATGGAAATTGTATCATCGACTCTTCTGAGGACGAATCGCCCTCAAGAATAAGCGCAGATATGACGAAGACCGTTTTTGGATCAAGAAATCAAAGGTCGAGCCAAACCTCAACCACGTCTTCTTTCCCCACTCCAAAGGACTCAAGGCAGCGGTCATCCGAGTTAAAATCAACTCATGGCAACAAGAGAAAGAATGAGAACGACTTGGAACATGATCCAGTTGTGAATATGTTCGGAAACATGCAGAGCAGCAATAAGAAGCTTAAATCATACACAAAGGAGCATCCGGATCAGACCAGAACCTCAAGACGTACGTTTAACAAAACATTCATGTACTTTAACTAATAATAAAATAGCTGGTGCCAATAAGCTGGCGTTGTTCAAGGACACCAAACCAAAGAACAAACCAAACAAACCCTACATGTATGGGAAGAAGAAGAACCCAGCGCCCGTGGACCATTTCATACACTACAAAAGTAGATCTTCAAGTATGGTCAGCGATAATGGAAAGCAAAAGCTTCAAGACTATACAGTCGACAGCCCAACGAAAACCAAAAGTCCCGTCAGAGGCTTTGTGCGCCCGGAATTCAGTGATGACGATTTTTCGGACTTAGATTTGTTCGGCAAATTGAAGAATTCGAAATCCACAACCCCATCAGCGCAACCTAGACTATTTCAACGATACGATGATGATGATGATGATATCTTGGATGGAGCGGAGGAACTGGCTAAGAAACTAAATCCGGATGCCATTATCGACATGGAAGATCTCGAGAGGGAAGATAGCTCGGAGATCGACGATTACACTGGATCTCGTTGTCCAATGTGTAATGAACCTGTAGCTACTGAAGATTTGAAGGCTCTCGGAAAGATGAACACTAGGAAGCAAGAGAAATTTTGTTTATCTCATCAACGAAAAAGCGCGCGATCAAATTGGAAATCTAAAGGGTACCCTGATATCGATTGGGAAACTCTGGATTCTAGAATTTCCAATCATCATGCATTTATCGAGAAGATAATAGGAGGCGCAACTTGTCATTACAGAGAAGTGTTCGATGAAAAGGTCAAAGCTGGAAAAGATCGAAATTTGATGAAGAGTTCCACGAATCTTATACCTGGCTATTATGGTTCTCGAGGTCTACGACTAATTTCCGAAAATATCATGCACGAGTTTACGCCATTGTTAAAGTACAGAGCACCTCTCGACCGTCTTATCGCAGCAAGAAGCACGGCTGCATTTGTTGACTCAGTTGTCGTGCCTGAAGTTACAGTTTTGCTGATTAAGGAAGATATGAATGTCTCCGACGAGGAAGCCAGGACAATATTGACAGATAGCTCTGAGATGGGAGATTTGGTCAATGAGGAAATCAAGGATGTTGTAACACTTAAGCCGGAGGACAAGTTGGTCGTTAGCAACAGTGACGATGATGATAACGATCTCAACTTTTAGCTGCTACGATGTAGCTCGGATTTTGGTTACAACTTTACTTAAGCTTGCAGAGCTTCCAGAATTGTATAACAGCTCAAGCTGAGTATGTATGTGTATTCCTTGTGTTTCATGATGGGTCAACCGTATTGCTTTCGAGGGTTGGAGATAAATCGGGCTGGCAATTTGGCTGTTGTACATGGATTGGAGTTATTGACGGGATGAGACAAGATGAATAGAGAAAGATGAAGAAAGGAGTATACCATAGCATTCAGCTTGTGCACACTGTAAGATATATAGATACCCATTCAATGTTTTTTTTTCAAACCTTATACGACCTCTATTTCCAAGCATATAGACCAGACTACCTTTCACCACCATCATTGATACCAAGAATATAAGAATCTACATATACTTCCGATCTTTAAATAGCCATTGCCAATCCAATCAATTCGGCTCACTCGGCTCAGCCCAATCACCCAAGTAGCCTTGCATTCTACGTACGGCTCACCAATCCAGCATCTGCACCACCGAAAATCCTTCACCACCCACCAATCACTCACATCCTCAAGAACCCCACCACAAATAAATAAAATTCTTACCCGCTTAACGTTACCCCTCATTCAATATCCACCACTCAAACTACCAGCATCTAACATTGAATAGAAATCAATCTAACAATTGATACTTCAACAACAAGAAAAGCCTGCCCGGCTAGCTCAATCGGTAGAGCGTGTGACTCTTATGATTTGAAAGATCTTCTGGTCCATCACAAGGTTGCGGGTTCGACCCCCGCGTTGGGCTCAATTCCCTTCATTGATTTTTTTGCGATTTTTTTGGTTCGTGAGATGGGTGAGTTTGTTTGAGGGCGTTTTTGTAGGTTTAGGTGAAAATCTGTAGATAGATAAATAGGTAGGGTTGTATTTTTGAAGCGTGAAGTGTATATGTATATTGTTTATTGGCTATTAATCAGTATAATATTCTATATAGGGCTTGCTTGTATTTGAGTACGAGACTAGAAGATTTTTTCTATATATAAGGTTATAGATATATATATATATTTGTTTAGCTTCGCTACGAGGTGAAGGGGAACGATGTATTATATATAGTCTCTCATACGAGTTCTTTTATTCAAAGAAGATATAAATTAAGATTAAATCTATTCTTCCCGCTTTTCATATTTCGCTCTCTGTATCTAAGATTCGAGTGAAGTTCATTCACCTACGTCATTACCAATTCTCGATCTGGGAGTACGATCCTCTTAAAATCAAGTTAGCTATATTGATATTCTAGGAAATGTATACTATATATGTTTATACCAAGACTTGAATCTCTCTGATCGTCGGAGGCACGATGTAGATCCTACTGTTGTCGATACTTGAGTAAATTCGATTTAATAGTAGTTGTGCATTTGAAGGACTTGATCTTCTAATGATCCGGCGGTTTTTGAGATATATATCTAACCTCATGCGATATTGCCTTTGCGGTTCAGGCATATCGAAATCGAATGAAAGACTCGAGATCTTGGTATTAATGTGAGTTCGGAACCTGTTTGGAAAGCCAGCGACATTAAGCAAGTGGCTTGCCAGCAGTCTCAAGATGTTACCTAGCCAACATATCCCAACATTCTGCGCATCACCGACTACTTTGTGTAATACTTCGTGTAAGATATATGGTGTGTATGTGAAGAATTCGACAACGAGATCAAAGCCATCCTCAATGTTTTCTTCTACACCTATCTATCTATCACGTTGCGACAACGGAAGTATGTCAAGTAAACAGATGATATGAATGATAACGAAATCGTACAGGATTATTCTCAGGCTCAGGCCGTTTATAAGAAGTAATTCTGTATATATAATGGATAGTACAACATATCAAAAGGAGAACCAAACCCTAAATTTTACTCCTACAGGGACTTGATCCTCAAAGACCTTTCCATCGAAGTTTATTCCTGCCTGGAGCGATGATTACAATTCCAGATGACCTTTGTATAGATGTACAATCTGTCTTTGCTGATATCCATGTATCTGGTAGAAGAAAGTGAGTAGATCTTTCGCTCGTATGTACAGCCGCGTACTATTTTATGTTTCTATGCATCGTGGTTCTTCAAACTTGCAGGATACAAAAACTACTCCTACCGCGTGTCTGTTCAATTTTATACTATATGACACATTCAGCGAACCGCATGGTAAGGTGCGGTAACAATTTAACAGATTGCGCTATGCACCATCACCGTCTGGTCGCAGAGAGATGATGAAGGCCCTAGTATATACAATAAAAAGATAGTCATACGGTACGGAAGATCCAGCTTATTTCGAGAGTGAGAAGATATATCTCAATCCGACAGTAAACGATTGCAAATCTAGATACACGACAACAACACTCGCCTTAAAATCGAAGAAAACTTAATAAGAAACCTTCTCCTATCGACTTCAAAACCCATCATTTACACGTTCCAATTGTCAACTCCTCCCCTCCCCCAAATACACAAGCCTCGAACCTCAAGAACCACAACCCCCCAACTCTCCAACCTATTTCAACACCAATACAGCTCTCACCGTTGATATTCCCGAAAACAGTTGATCAAGATGTAGTATATATACACACAAAGATTTGAAAATACCCACTGAGCCGAGTTTCAGTTTCAGAAAGATCAAAAGAGTGAATATAAATCTATTCTAATATTCCATTCAGTACTCCGAATCTCAGATCACCATTCCGAACACTAAGCGGACATGAATGATAGAGTAACCTTGAACTAGTTATAAACAAATCCATCCATCCATCCGTCCATCTGAATTCTCGAGTAAAATATGAGAGCAAAAAAATGAATAGTGATGTTTGCACCACAACAGGATAGGAAAAGGGAAATGTTCCCTATGCAGCAAATCTGTTTCTAAGGAGAGTGAATCGCAGATTTCTTTGATGAAAGGGGATGTATGTAGGTATAGATCGTACTTTTACTTTAGTACTACGCGAGAAGACCATTCATACTTGACAGTGAAAAAAGATTGAGATATGTCAAGGAAGGAAGGATAGTGAATGTTCGGAATGACATTTATACACATACATACGTACAAACCGTGAATACTAACTATCCCAAGCAAACATCCGAGAGCAGACAAACCCGAGTTCATCGACTCGATATGAGAGAAGAAATGTATATACCATCGAAGATCCACCACAGACTAGCAGGTGTATTTATGTGTACTATATACGAACTCGGATCATTACAGAATTAATATCTTGAGAAACTCAACCCCATATATATAACATCACAATAAGCACGATCCTTAGGTATTCAAGGAAGAAACGACAAGAGATGAATAGTTATTACCAACGACGAGATGCGAAGATGGAAGAAAAAAGAAGAAGAAAGAAACGAAATCAAGGCGAGTGAAAAAGGCCCAATAATTTCCATCTCATCAGCAAAGCAACAAACCTCCACAAATTCTCCCTTTCCCCCGATCGTACACTAGAGAAAGAATCTCGGAGAGACCTTTTATAAAGTCAAGAGTTACCTACCGACACATGATCCGTTTCGGATCGACAATCTTCACTTTACTTCACTTTACTTCACTTCACTAGATATCTAATCTCTGAATTGATATCAGACTTTTTTTCGTATTCTCTCCCCCGCCCCTCCACCCCTCCACATTCTCCTCGCAAATCTATATAGATAGCCCTCACCCACCTCTAAGCCCCCCCCCCTAAAGCGCAAACTTGCGCTCAAAAACCATGCGGGAAGACCTCCGCAATCCCTCCCCCGGTTACAATCATCTATCTACCTTTACCTACCAGGCAGTAGGCACATAGCCATCACCACCGCCAACACCACCACCAACTCCCCACCCCCATTATCACCCACCATTCAGCAGTAGTGATAACGACTCTCTCTCCCCTTCATCCACAAAGCATAACATTACAAAACATCCCACCACATCACCTCACTCCTACCCCATCCATCCCCATCCATCGCTCCCAATTCCACACAAAAGCTAAATCCCACCTCAACCTTCACTCCCGAGTCGGCAAACATAAATAAAAAATATTTTGACTACCTTCTCTTCTCTTCTCTTCTCTTCTCTTCTTTACATATACCCATGAATCGCCAAGCAAAGAATCCAACCCTCTTTGTACACTCTCTAGATCTCTCGAGGAAACATACAAGATCTACTAAGACCCCGCTGCTAACAGGCTAACTGTACCTATCCGAGTTCACCTCGGATAGCGTACCGTTTATTTGCCCCACTCTCCCCCTCCCAATATTAGATTAAACCATCACATCTCCAATCTCAAGCTCAAAAAGAGAATCACCGTCAAAATCCGCACTAACAGGAAAACTGACATGAGCGGCGCATTTCCAGAAAGACATCAGAGATTTGAATACCAAGCCCATCTGGCGGGATGGCTTCAAACAACTTAACTCACATCAAAACATGTACTCTTCACAAAAATTGATTTCACAATCGAAATTCCATTCGCCATCTGCATAAATAGGTAGAGGTAGCTAGGTACTCGTACTCAAGACCAAGTCCATCCGACTAACCCTATAATAATCCATCCATCCATGCCTTTCAACCAACCCAATCATTCCATATCAGGAATTTAAAAACCATACGCGCAAAAAAGAAGTAGAATCATCGATACCCTATAGCCCATACCCGATATTCACAAAGTTATCCATCAAAAGGTGCCTGTTGATATTACCCGGGCCAAGCTCGGAAGAATCCCCATACAACCCGGGCAACATAATTTTGTCGCCCATCTCATCCAACAATCACCACGAGAAACGCAGAGACCAATAGAACCTGATTTATTGAGTCGACGACTTCTTCTTCGCCGCCTCAGTTGCCTGTCTCTCGATTTGAGCTGCCGCCTCTTCTGCCTTGACTTCTCTAACCTTCGCCAATACCACTTCTCTAAAGATGGCACCCTTGGCTATTTTGCTCAAACTCCTCTTTTCTCCAGGCGACGTAGATCCTGAAGCTGAAGATGAACCAGTATTTCTTCTTTCTGGGCTACCAGGAATAGCATCGCTAGCGGCGGCTGCAGCATTGCCGGGAAGGTCTGATTCTTCGTTGTCGTCTTCTTGCATTTTGAGCATTTCGATACGATTGGTGAGCTTGACCATTTCGATACCACGACGAAGACGGGCTTTGGCCATGTAAGCTTTGATTTCTGGAAGCAAATTGTGATCGGTGGCATTCTCTCCGCTCAACCATGGATGCGCGAGTGCTTCCTGTGAAAGTTTTAGTGACTCCAAATTTGACGAAACCTAGTTCCTGTAAAACATACCTTGCTTGTAGATCTATCATCTGCACGTGGTTGTAAAAGATGACCAATGAAATCCTTTGCGTCATCACTAACATCCTTCCAGTATCTTTCATGGAAAATGACTCTAGCATTGCTGCACTCTTCGATAAGATCTTGAAGATTCTCGCTTCGGAACGGAGAGTAACCACAGAGGAGTGTGTAGGTAATGACACCCATAGACCACATATCTACAGGTTTTCCATGACCCTTCTTCAACATAACTTCAGGAGCGGCATAACCAAATGATCCAGCCATGGTTGTAAGAACTTCATCTTTTGTGTCGAGCATTTTGGCGATACCGAAATCTGCGAGTACGAGGTCGGAGTGAGGGTCGTGAGTGAGGTAGAGTAAGTTCTCAGGTTTGAGATCTAATTGTTGTTAGCTAAAAGTCAAAAAGCCATGTTGACATTCCTACCTCTGTGAACAACATTATTGTCATGAAGGTAGTCTACAGCCTCGAGGACTTGACGGATAGTTTGCGAAGCATCTTTTTCTGTAAATCTTCCTTGTTCGCAAATTCGATCAAACAACTCTCCACCAATCGCCAACTGTGTAACAATATAGTATTTGTCCTGCGACGCATTAGTCGTTTCCCTCGAACCAGTAGCGATCTCTTCCTTACTCTAGACTCGAACCAATCCACAAACTTGACGATATGCTTATGCTTCATTTTCTGCAGCATTTGAAGCTCGTCATAGACCATTTGTTCATTTCCCTTGACATTTTTCTTGAGGATAATCTTCACTGCGACCTTTCCTGTGGGACCATCTGCCTCTCTGACGATTCCATAGGTACCAGCACCGAGGGTTCGACCGAACTTGTATTTGGCTCTGGTGTATAATTAGCAAGAGTCGTTGCGCAGATGCACCATCATAAACTTACTTTTTATCATAACTTTCTGGCTGACCATGCAGCTTGTTGAGCATACCAGAGACTGGAGATTCCGAACGACGATAGTTAGTGCGTGTCATTTTCAACCACTGATAATAGGAGGATAGGGCGAAGAAAAAGGAGAAGACTTTAAAAGGGAGAATAGTATCGAGGAGGGTTTTTAGGTACATAGAAAATACTTATTTTCATCTGCTGATACCGATGTTCGTTGTTGGATATACTCCCCTCCTCCTCATCAAGCTCGCTGGGAAAGTCAAGGGCAAATCAAACTCACAACTCATCGTGCCTGCTTTCTTGGATAGCTATTGCGAGCTCAATGATTTGAACCTTCCTTGAATGTCGCCTTGACTGATTCTCAATATGTAATCACGGTATGCGCAAAGTTAAAATATGACGAGTTTGGAGAGAAAGTTGGAGAGAAACTCTTCTCAAGTAAGAAGTTCAGATGTTCAGATGTTCAGATGTTATTGCGGAGATGTCTTAGTGGGGGTTGGGAACAGGCTGGCAAGAGATCTTAAAGGGTTCAAAGAAAGGATGAGTTGAAACGTTTTTGAGTGGGAATTTATTGACTGAGTAGAATGGAATATGGAATATGGAATGTCTTATTAGTTTATTATATTTGTATGAGTGATTTGATATCGAGTAAGAAATACACCAATTACCTATGTCAAGGTAATAAAAGAAGACCAAAGATAATAATATGAAAGGAAATATCAATATAACAGAAATTAACCCAGCGCAGGTACCGTGGACCTCTTCTTTTCTTCAGCCGCAGTTCATACCGGTATATTGATACCACCTGGGGGGCATACAGAGTACATGGGACATAGTAGATAGGACATGTTACATAGGACAGAATAGAGAGGACATAGTAGATAGGACATAGTAAATAGGACATAGTAAATAGGATATAGTAGATAGGATATATTACATAGAAAATAGTAGATAGAACATAATATATAGTATATAGTATATAGCACATAGTATAGTACATAGCACATAGTATATAGCATATAGTATAGTACCTACCATGCTCTACGTCCACCACTCATCCATTACGCAGCACCAGAATCATGAACGGCGGGGCAGTGATCAGTGATCAGTGGCAGTGGTCAGCCCAAGCCCCAAAGGGTTTCATTCCGAGTTTATTAGTGTGGCTCAGATGTATTCACGTATGGTGGACCCAGTTCTTTACCGGTAGCAGGTATCGTATTTCGTATTGGAGTGCCAGGAATATAGAATATACATGTACTTTGTAGTAATAAATGAAGCATGGATGCTCCGTATATAAGGTAGTAATAAGTACTCTGTAGGTAGGAAGCGGGTAAAATCGAGGATGAATTGAACTTTCAAGGTTGTTATGAATTGCTTCATATTTATCTTATCTGTACTAGGTATATTTATATTCATTCAGTGTATATATCTATCTACTGTATACATACATACATATATATATACATACACAGTTAACCATGATCCGTTAACCATGGATCATCGATAACCACTTCTCCAAGCCAAAAGTCTAGCCCAACCAGTTTGTTTCTCATCAGCCCCTCTCAAGCTGGTCACCTAGCTGCCTTAGCTACCTGACTACCTCCCTGACTCTTTACCTACCTACCTACCTACCTACCTACCCACCTACCTAGTCCCTACGTCTTATCTTATGCAGGTTCCCATTTCGAACCTCATATCATATCATATCTCACGAAACCTCTCAACTATTTTTTGGACTCGAGTATACTCTACTCGCTACTCTCCTCGCACACTTTATTATTCGTACACTCTAATCATAGAGAGTAACAAGATCAACAATTCTCGACAATTCATTCACTTATTCATTCACTCATTCATATTGCCATCTCTAGTTGAAAACCCCAAGTTTTATGCTTTTCGCAAAAGATACCCGTGTGACCCTATCATTTACCAAGTAATCTAAATCTATTTCAATTCGATTTTGACTTTACACATCACATCGCACAAGAAAGAGTATTACATACATACATACATACAATCGATAGCTATACCTACCTAGGTATATAACTTCACAACATGACAACCATGGGAATAGCAAGTAAACGTCTGGGAAAGGAACTTACTAAGGTATATACAAACCCCTCTTTATCTTCCATCTCCTACATCCCATAACCCAAACCCCATAACCTATTACTCCTTCTTTTCTCTTCTTATTCTCTCCTCAAAATTATATCTCTAACCCTAATTCTACCTAAAGATCCACCAAAGTCTCCCACCAGGAATAACTCTCGTATCCGCCGAAGATTTCAAAGAATGGCTTGTCGACATTTGCGTTTTAGATTCGAATCCTCTTTACCAAGGAGAAACCTACAGAATAAAATTAGTTTTCACACCTAATTACCCTATCGGTACGTCTCTCTCCCTCTCCCCTCTTCAATCCTTCATCCCATCCCCTCCCATCCCCTCCACCCCTCCACCCCTCCTCCCAGAACCCCCAGCTAACCCCTCCCCAGAACCCCCCGAAGTAACCTTCCTGGCGCTCTCCACCCCAACCCGCCCTATCCCCATGCACCCACACATCTATTCCAACGGCATAATCTGTCTCGATCTGCTCGGCACCCAAGGCTGGTCGCCCGTCCAAAACGTCGAGTCGATCTGCATGTCTTTACAATCCATGTTGACCGGAAACACAAAGAATGAGCGTCCCGAGGGCGACTACGAGTTTGTGAAGTACAATCGCAAGAGACCGAGGGATATCGATTTTTATTACCATGATGATGGGGTTTGAGAGGTTTTAAAGGGAGAGAGAAAACTATGGAGCGCATGGGGGAATTGAGGGAGAGGAAGTGAGGCAGAAGGGAATGGGCTAGGGAAGAAGAGTGTTCCTCGAGTGTGAGGCAAGGCAAGGGAATCGAATGCATGGACGAATTTTTGGACATGAAGAATGAAGCAAGACATGAATGGATCAAGAATGCATAACTGCAAAGGTTGGGAAAGGATTACTTTGATCTCTGGCATTACAGCAAGGCGTTTGAGTGGCTGTGGTTTTTTTTGGGCACGTCATTCCATATTTTATTACAGGTTCATGAGTTTCATGAATAGAATTTCTGAAAGTGGTTGTATTATCATGATTTTTCTTTCTTCTCATTACTCATACAATCATACGCCCATCCACCATGTACGTACGTATAGACGTCATTTATAACCCTCGAGCTACATCCATTATTCACACTCTCTGTGACACTGTAATAATCCTACAAGATCTTTGTCCCCGTCCCCGCAGCCTGACTCATCAAGAATTTCTTCAACGGTCCCATCGCATCCACAGCTCTTAGACCCAAAGTCCTTCCCCAAACCACCGGTCCACTCTCCACACTATACAACTTGTGCAATTTATCCACCACCCCCAATAGCACATGATTCTGCATATACCTCTCCGAATTGTACGATTCCAAACTCATGCGCACCCCAATATCCATCCCATGATCCACCGCATACCCGATTCCCTTGACCAGACTCTCGACATCTCCTTGTCCTTGATTAAGTCCCTGGCCCGCTAACGGATGAATAGTATGTGCCGCGTCTCCGACCAGTGCAATGCGTTCCCCAATATAAGTATCTGCGTGGCGCATTTTGAGAGCAAAGGAAGCGATGCTGTTTTCCTGGACGCCGGTGACGGGGGCAGGAACAGTGCCGGAAGTAGGTGTGTGTTGGAGACGCCACGATACTTCTTCTGCTTGACCCGACGACTGAGTGTGCATGTATTTCAAATCTACCGTGCTTAATCTGAACGCCGCATTCACCATCGCGATAAAATCTTTCACGCTCAATCCTTTCAGAACAGCTGCGTTTTCCGGAGTCGTGCTCCAAACTAACGTTGCGTGGTTTCCTGGGAGAGGTAACATGGCGACTGGTCCTGTAGGTAGGAATCTTTGATATGCAATCTTGCCCACTTCATGCCGAGCTTCCAATTCCAAAGTCGCTACTACACCCACACGACCATAATCCCATCCTCGACTATCTATGCCGGCGAATCTCCTCACCGGGGAGTTTTGTCCATCGGCGCCGACTAGTAATCTCGCCGCGAGACCTTTCTCCTGTCCTTCCACCGTCACGATAGGCCAGCCAGAGAAATCCCCCTCGTCTGTCTGCTGTCCCAACTCAATATCCGCAACTTTCCCCTCCAAAATATCTACCCCTCCTAACCCCTCTATCCTCCTCAATAGTCCCCCTCACCAAATTCGCATTCTCATTCATATACGCCACCACCTTTCCCTCTCCCTCCAGCACCTCCTCTCCCCTGTCCCCTCCCTCAACATCAAACCCAATTCTCCCCCCACTCACCCCATCCCAAACTTGCATCCCCCCATACCCCTGTACCCTCCTCCCCTCCACCTCCTCCCACACCCCTATCTCCTTCAGAAACCTCACACTCTTCGGCGTCAAACTACTACACCGATTCGAATACTCCCCCTCTCTCATTTTCCAATTAAGCGATTTCGATAACGATTGCGGTTCGATGAGCGCGAGCCGCAGATTACGAGTGAGGGGGTTTGCGCCTGTAATCTCCATTAATCCTCATCATTCTCCAATCGCACACTCACCCCCAGAAAGTAGACAAAAGAACCCAAACCTACGCAAAGCAGCAACCAGACTCAATCCCGCCGGTCCCCCTCCTACACACACCACATCATACACAACCGGACGTTGTTTCCCATTCGCAATCGAAGTCGCACCCGGAGCAGAAGCCGTCGTGGCGAAACTTCTTATGCGTCTCGTGCATGCTTTACACACGTAAGGATTGAGTTTTCTGAGCGAGGAATTCGAAGGCTTCATACTGAATCTTCAATATCGACTTTATAGCGAGAGAAAGAAAAATGAAGACGATGTGAAATGGGAAGCTACCAGCTACCAGCTATCCTTGTACTCCTCCCTCTAGTAGGTATTTCAGAGCTTAATCAAGAGTCACGTGTAGATATCGCTTTATTGTGTCGGACGAGCTTAGAATAGAAATATATTGTGTTATTTCTCTCCTTTTGCTTTCTTGCCTTGCTCTAACTACCTCGAATTTGTTTTTCTAATCAAAATCAACATTGTTACTGACAAGACGAATCCACAAGCTCGAAATCTCTCTTAAGCCAAACTAATTTCCAAAGACGCTGCCGTATCACCAGAATTCTCACTTTAGCGATGTCGCTCACCATGTTACTCCCTAACGAATTATAAGTTATATCCAAACAATTTGAATCGAGGGAGGTTTAGAGTTGAAACGGTTGTAATGCGAGGTGGTGGACACATGAGCGTTGAGTTGCAGGTTGTTTAGAGCTCTGTCTAGAGATCCCCTAATTGAAGTATTAATATTAGCGAAAGCAATTCCCTCAAGTCACATTGCCTGTCAACGATGCCAGAATGTCAGAGTAAATTTATAGAGATTTATTTTGCTTGTCCCGCTCTACGTTATCGCTGGGTATGTAAAACTATGTACAATTGCAGATGGCAGTGAGCCCAAATGTTGTTAATTGCGTGCGCCATCGCTATTGTTGTGCCATGGCAGAAAGGGGTTGGAGTGGAACCCAATGAATGCTGGATAAGCAGCAACAACTCAAGCGCGAGAAGAAACAAATCCTCTATGGTTGATTCTGGAAGATCCTGTTCTTCTCGTTCCCTAGGGTTTCCCACTTCCCCGAAGCCAGCCTATAGGTATGCAAGAAATTTCAACCATGCAATGCCATGATGTATAAATGCAATAATGAATAACTGTTCTATTGAAACACAAGCAACAAGAAGGTTCGAAATTCGAAATCGTTTTGAAGAAACTGTATTAAAAGTTTGTATATCGTTCAGAGTTTAAAACTCCCAGTCGTCCTCGTCCTTAATAGAATCAATGGCCCAGGCGAATTTCTCACGGAGAGTCTTGGAGAAGAACTTCTCGATCGGTACATCAAACTTCTGGGAGAAGACGACGGTCAGACGTGGGTCGATGTAATTCTGAAATTTCGTTAGCCATACGTTCCATACCAATTCACCAATTTAAACTTACAATTTTACTGGTACCGAGCGCAACCTCCTTGTTACCCTCTCGGTCTTCACGCTTGAGAAGCATGTTGGCGATTCTTTCGTCTATCTTCGTAATGTTGGCCTCGAACTTATCGACGGTAGGTCCTTTGCCTTCAGCCTCGACCTTCTTCGTCTTGTTCTCTTTTTTAAACTTCTTCTCTAAATCCGTAGCGGCTTGGAGACGTTCGTTAAGTTCTTTGGTCTTCATTTCCTTTTGTCCCTCAGATACAAGTTTCTCGTTCTCCTTTGCAAACTTCTTTTCGATCTTGATACGCTCTTGAGCAACGAGGAAGGCTTGATGCTCTTGAATCCAAGATTCGTCAAGCTCTTCATCCAAAGCGAACCAATCAGCACCCTTCTTCTTCTTTTGTTTTGGCTCAATGTCGAGAATCATTTGCTTTAGGCGCCATTTCTGATATTTGAGACCCTTTACTGCATCATCCATCTTCTCGATTGCAGCTTCATGACTAGCCCCGACTGTCCGTTTGTGATTACAGAGAATGGCGACCTTGCGATTGCAATCATTATATAGCTTGATCTTCTCTTGCATAGAAATGTCACTATTCTTGAGTTTCTTCAGGAGGTCCGACATGGTCCAAGAGGCGTTGTAAGTACGGAAGACCTTGGCACTCAGACCTGGCATATAATTTGTCAAGTGCTTGTTCAATTGTGTAGTCTGCAGTGGTCAGTAGTCGTTCAAATGAAGCATAGTATTGTACTTACATTGAGACGATCAAAAATGTCATCACCGTTCTTCTTTGGGGCCTTCTTGAAGATCTTCAAATTTTTGAAAACTTGAGGGTCAACTGTTACCTCATCATAAAAACGAATACTATCTTTTCCCAAAAAGTCAAAAATGACGGTATTTGGGGGCTTCAAAGTGACGTGCTCATATTTCAAGGAACAACATCCAACAGTTTCGGCTTCGTTCTCCGCATCCTTTTCATTACCAGCACGCAATGCAAACTTATCAATGAGATAAACTGCAGTGGCTCGTTGTCGATCGGCCATAAGTTCAGCCTTGAGATCCTGAGTGTAATCTTTTCGGATTCGATCAATGTGCTCCTTCAATTCACGAGCCTTTTCAAACTTTTTAAAATCGCTTTGGCCCTTGATACTACTCTTTGCTGCAAGCATAACATACTTGTAAGCACCATTGATGTTCTCCTGCCACATAGCAAGCCAGGTAGCCTTATTGTCATGTTGGATAGCTTTCCACTTATGACCCTCAGGAGGAGAAGGAACAGTAGCGTCTTTGCCGATGTTGATAGTAATTTGCTCGGGAGTAACTCTGAGCTTGACTTTACCAGTCTTTGGATGCTCACCGCGACCACGGAATAGTCCAGGAGGTTCGACACGGAAGTTTCCCACATCTTCCTTGCGTCCGTCCCAGATGCAAGTCTTATATGGTGCTTCGGCCTCATCTTTAAGCGCTTTCTCGGCCTTCTTCTCAGCTGCAGATCGAGCCTTTCTTTCGGTACTCTTGCCATCATAATACTCGAAAATTGGCTTGAAGTCGAGCTTACTAAAATCCTTGATAGCAACTTTGTTTCCGTCCTTATCCTTGGCACCTCCAGTTTTCTTAACAGAATCGGTGAAATCCTTGAAAAAGTTCTTCTGGAAAGTTGGATTTTCGACGTTGTGGGTCGAATTCAGCATAGCACCAAAGAAGCCTGCAATTTCTTCCGATTCTAGAGACAAAGTAAGTGGGATCCCATCATACCTCAGTTTGACGTTCTTTGGGAGTGGCTCGTATTCTGGAGGGAAGACAACACCATTGTGTTGCAACGTCTCCCATTTGATACTGTCATCCTCCTTCTTGGGTGCATCCCACCAACGATAAACCTCATCTGCTTCTTCGCTTTCCTCCTTCTTGGCCTTGCTCTTCTTTGTGTCTGGTTCCGCCTTTACTTTGCCGTTTACTTTCTTCGGAGCAGCCTTCTTTGCAAGAGGCGCATCGGAGTCAGATTCCTCTTTCTTTACGCCATTGGCCTTTTTCGTGACCGCGCCATTGGCCTTCCGCCTTTTGGGTGCAACATCGTCGTCGCTATCGGATTCTTCTTTCTTGATGGCTTTTTTGGGTGCTGCCTTCTTTGCTCGCAAGGCTTTTGCTTCCTTCTCGGCGTGCTTTTCGATGGAAGCTTTCTCCTTGGAAAGTTTGACGGTAAGTGGCTCGTCATCTGAAGATGACTCTCCAATGGCAGCGGCGGAAACTTTAGGAGGTAGTTTAGAATTGCGCCTGCCAGCCAAAGGCATGTCATCATCTGAATCGGAATCAGCGACTTTCTTCTTGTTGGATGTTCTTTGTCGTTTCGCCTAATGTATCAATCAGTATATTACCATTGCCAAACTTGTACATCATGAGAGAGATCATATGCTTGGATGCTTCAACTAAAAGTCGACATACCAATGGCACCTCTTCACTTTCACTGCCGCTACCATCCACATTGTAGTTTACAGCTTTTCCGTTACCAATGCTTGATCGTGATTTCCGCTTTGAAGCGCCATTTGTAGCAGGCCCGTCTACATCCATAGGATCGTCCAAAACAGGTCCATTGCGAATAGAGATTCCAATGGGGGCAGCCTTCGCATTTCCACTAGCCTTATCCATGGCTCTATCGACACTTTTCGGTATATGACCTTGCGAAACTGTGAAGATGATTAGTGTTTGCCCTTGAGTTGAGATAAAATTCAACAATGTTGCAAAGCTGAAGGGTTGAGAGGTTGAACAGGTAATGGCAGTTTAGGCTGTAGCGGAAGGAAAGAAAAAGTGTTTGCTGCTTACCATTGCCATTGGTGCCGTTTGTTCTTGCCAAAGGCATATCATCATCAGAAGAAGACATTTTGAAAGGAAGAGAGTATAGTCGAAAAAGATGAGAAGTTGAGGAAGTTGCGATTCGAGAGTAAGAGCTGAGTATCGTCAATAAGCTGCGCTTTTAAGCGTATATTGGTGATCCAAAACCGCGATTGAAAGTGTATCGAATTTAAGATTCAGCCAAAGAAAAGTACCTCTGAGCGCGTATTGATGTACGATCGGCTATGTGTATTGTTTTGACAAATGGAAACCCTATTATCCTAAAGATAGGTTGGAGAATGAGGCGCTTTGCAGTCATGAAAGTAAGTGAAATATAAAGTACCTGGTAATAAAATAAGGCGCTCGGAATTTTTGAGATTCTTTTGGAAGGACTTGGGGAAGGAAGGTGCAGGTAAATGGAGGGATCACGTGTTTTTAGTGCGTCTTTCGATCGCACTCGAGGCACTGTCTAGTCACTCTAGTCTGTTGTTATATGTTATATACTAGGTAGATATACCAGGTAGGTAGTAGTAAAAAAAGAGTAGATTATCGAGGTAAATTCACTTTGCAGCAGAGTTCAGAGCGCTTATTGGTCGCCACTGTCCCAACTTTTCAAACAGAGAGAAGCAAGGGTCAGAAAGGTACATGGGCTTTTTGCATACGAGGTGAAAGTCACGTGGTACTGCAGTTCGTCGTAACAGCACAATACCTGCAATAAAGAAATATAAAACACAATGAGATGAAACTTATTACTAATACGGTACAGTACAGTTAATATATTTATAAAACTTGCCTATGAAATGCATGTACTTGGACCTTGATTAATAATAAATACTTTTATATACAAACTCTATTTATGTACATCAGCACTAGGAAGATATCCACCTAAATACCTAAATATCTGTCCATTAATCTATCGTGCCATGAAATTAATGGCTGGCTCGAGGCTGGCTGTTCATAACCCGATCAGCCGGTCCGCGTGGGCCATTGTTGACTCCAGTCAAGGTTTCCTATAGTCTCATCAATTGGGAAATTTTTACTTCTGCTTGATATTATATTATATATACCGTACCGGGTAGGTATTATTTCAGGGCTTTCTGCAAGAATGATTTCTGAATTTTGATACCTATCTCAAGAGGCTTCAATAATCATGAACTTAGATACCTATCTTTCGAAGAAACTTTTATTCCACCAAGTATTCTTTCACAGAGTTGCAAGAATATTTGACTCAGTATTAACAACTGGTGTATCCGCTCCAGCTTAACATCCTCATATTACTTCGTAGTATCCTTACAGTATTGTGCTCCAAGTCACAAAGTAACAGCACAGTAAAATCATCTCACCATGTCTTGATAATTGAAGAGTCGATGCAGATCCAAAGCCAAGAGGGTGAGGATCTATAGGGCTACCTCAAGTCTCCAACTGATAGTACTTCAAACGACGCAGATTGATCTTTGTATCGTGAAGTCTTCGTTTGTGAAAGTAATGCCGGTGTTTCCTTCACAATGACTTGGACCCGAGTACCGGCCATGCTAAGTTCTTTCTTCGCCCTACAACTAATCACTCAAACATAGTATCGTAAGATGCATCGGCGATGCAGCTCTTTCGATTGTTCAGTACTGGATGAATAACTCGAACTATTCTACTCTGAAAGTTGTCCAAGAATACCAATCGAATCACTTGCATGATGAGGCTGGCCTTTGGAGGCTGAACACCACTCCGAGTATTCGAACAGTCTTTGTGGTCCACTCCATGGCTTCGCATATGTTCAAGCAAATAGTTGAGGATTGTCAAATTGAATACACCTGGAGAAGGACAAAAATAATGAGCTGTATTCCTGTCATTCCTGCCTTTCCTGTCGAAGTATTACACCATGCGCATCCTTACCACCACGAATTGCCGTATGACAGCTAGCTCTGGAGAATAATCTGAAAATGACAGGACAAAAAATCAGTTCCAGAGTTGTGACCTATATCCCATACTCATTCATCGTGAAGACAGCATTTGTGGTGTTAACATCAGCATTTGTGGACTTGCAATAGGACCAGCTAGACTTCTGCCGCCTTCTTATGCACCGATTCCATCGTTCTCTAAATTTTCCAAATCACCTATGCGACACTCAATCTGCAATGGCTTCATGTTGTCGATATCGATATATAAAATTGAACAAAAAAAATTCCGACTTTGCCCGAGCAAAATAACACAATCACATTGCCCACTTACAGACACGTGATCGACTAGCGCATTCTGAAGCTTTTCCCGTTGAACGACGAAATCGAGCCGAAATACCGATTTCGAATTGCAACAGTCAATTGATTCCTAACTTAATCGTGGTCAATTAAGCCTCGATATTGAATTAGTTGGTACCGTTCTTTTGGTTTTCAAGATGCTTTCGAGAACTGCCAGACCCGCTCTCCGAGCAGCCGTCGCGGCTTCCGCCAGGTAAGACTTCTTCCTGATGAAGTGATAAAGATGGGACTACTATAGCGGGGTCTGGGACATGAGGAAAATAGTGCAGGATATGGAGGCTGATGATATTGGGCCTGCAGACCAGTTGCCCCTCAAGCTGCCGGATATGCGACCCTCCGTGAAATCGAGGACAGATTAAAGTCCATTCGCAATATCGAGAAAATTACAAAAACCATGAAGATTGTTGCATCCACCAAGCTTACCCGAGCACAAAAGGCTATGCGAGAGTCCCGATCCTACGGAGAGAGCTCCAACAGCGTTTTCAAACATGCCGAGACCAAGGCCTTGGAGAGTGACAAGAAGAGATTGATTGTTGTCGCCAGTTCCGACAAGGGTCTTTGCGGTGGTATCCATTCCGGTTTGTCCAAGCAAGTCCGCAGAATGTTGGCTGCAGACTCAAATGCCGATATTGTTGTTTTGGGTGAGAAGTGCAAGGCTCAGCTCAGTCGTTCCAGCGGAAAGAACATTGTCATGAGCTTCGCTGGTGTTGGAAAGGATGTCCCTACATTCGCAGATGCTCAAGCTATTGCGGACCAAATCGTTCTCTTGCCAACCGACTACTCCTCCGTTCAAATCGTTTACAACAAGTTCATCAACGCTACAAGTTACGAAGCCACCCCAATCGAGGCTTTCTCTGAGGAGGCTATTGCCAACTCCCGTAAGTTTTACTTATATTTAGACTAATATGTGGGATAGTGCTGACATATTCAACCAGCCAACTTCTCCGCTTTCGAAATCGAAGATGAGACCCTTGGTAACCTTCGTGAATATGCTCTCGCCAACTCCCTCTTCTGGGCTCTTGCTGAGGGACATGCCTGTGAACAATCTGCCCGTCGTAACGCTATGGACGTAAGTTTCTCTAACCTCCACATACTCACATAAATTACTAAACAATATCAGAATGCTTCCAAGAACGCAGGTGACATGATCACCAAGTACCAAATTCTCTTCAACAGAACCCGTCAAGCCGTCATTACTGGTGAATTGGTTGAAATTATTACTGGTGCTGCTGCTTCAGAAGAATAGAGGGTTTGTGAATATGTAGACTAGTCGAACGACTCGAGATTCTCTTGGGAGCCGAGTTAAATGAGATTCCCTTTTGTGCCAATGCATTAATACCAATGCATTAAGAGTTGGAATTTGGAATCTTGATGTCTCGTGTGTTTGTATGCTGTGCTTGGGGATGTAACTATGGGATATTGATGTTATAACTGTGTTGCTATTCTTTTCAGCCTGCTTCCATGCTATCCTCAGTTGTGGTCCTAAAGCCACCCAAGAAGTCTAATGAACGATCGTCCTTCGAGTGGAGGAGCTCGGCTATTCGTTCGTTACTTGCAAGCAATGTTGCCTTGCCTCGCCTCTCCTTTGGCTAGAAAACAATGTATAGAGACTTTCTTGCCCCCTTCCCCCCTCCTACATGTTCTTATAGGAACCTTACATACTCTGGTTCTCTTTGCGCTTCTTCAAGGGAAGGAACATAATGCTCATGGGTAGAAGTAAATGGTCAACTGCATATTGGCTGACATTTAAGAGATGTATGACAATGATAATATATACATGTAAAAACATTGCGTAGTCGATAGTGATAGGAGAAGAAGATTAGCAAACACAGATATAGTATTGCCATCGCTGTCACTAGGGATAATGATCCATACATTCTTCCACGCTTCTCTGCACCGTTATTTTATCTGCCGACTTTCATGTTCCCAGGTATGCCACCTCCACGGAAGAATTAATGGGGGTTTGATATTTTCACACACGGATCTTGAGGTTAAGTTCAGCTGTTTATGGCTGATAGCTTGGTATGCGACTTGTAAATTTTGGGCAATACATACATAGTATAGTGGAATTTTGTGTGTTGTTTGTTTTACAGTGAATATGTGTATAAAAGGAGTGAGTGCTGGACTTTTTAAACATCAACAATTTCTCTACCATCATGGTATGCTGATCAGGGATTTGGCAATAGCCCCAGAAGTATTCATGTAGCTGTGAAAACTGGTGAATCTCGATATCAGACTTCTAGCAATGCTGTGCGGCAATCAATACGTCAAAGCCCTCCAACGCTAGAAAAATATAACTTATATTGTTGTTATGTAGTTCTTTGCATCGCTGTTTAGCTGCTGCTCCTAGCGATTGAAGTCACAGCGTAAGTGGTTCTTGGAATTGTGATGCCGTAGGCTGTGGTATCATGGCCACTGATCCGACAGATTTCTTTTTGATCGTCTACGTGGTTCATTGACAGGATGTTCTTAAGTTATAAATCAAAAAGCTTTGTATAGGCACTAGGCAAGAATGGCTGACAGGCTTGAAGCGTGCACTTGCTCAAAGAAAAATACTACCAGGGTTGAAATCAAGTCGGCCGTTAATCAATGGGCCTGCCCTTTCATCATCATCATCATCATCATCATCATCATCATCATTATCATCATCACCCCCCCTTCTAGTTTCCAGACACTCGCTAATCACAACTTAGTGAGAAAGTATAAAATTGATACCAGGGTAGGCTCTGAACTGTTGAACATTCTCGAAACCAGGCCGAGGCAAAATTTACGAGGCTTCTTTCTGGACAAGAAGTATCTTTCATACATGTCTAGAACAAGATCCTAGGTGCAACATGATAGATTTTTATATCAGTGAGCTGCGGTATTAAAAACCAGGCACGAACCTCGCTGTAGTTTATGATAGTAACGATGATGGCGGATCTACGGTAAAAAGACAACGTGAAATTGACAGTGGAAACGTGATGATGGCAACGAGCCACCGCATATCACTCTTTCGTCACGCTATAGTACCCTCTTGACGGCTCTTTCTCACACTCGAGAAGACGAAGTGGATATCGAGTGGTCGATGTGTTGAAAGGCACCAGCCTGATCGGCAGCTATCATCTGCTTTGATTTCCACAGATAGAGACTCAAAGCCAAAGATTTACTTTGTTTTATAGTCAGATTAATCTATTTTTCACTTCAAGATAGATTAGTATCACTGTGTCTCATGAAAAAAACCAACGTGTCTTTTTCGAACTAGGAACTTGTTTCTCTCTCAGAGTTGGACAAAATCCAAAAACTTGTATTGCACTATATATATACCCAATCCTCACGGCTTTCCAAACCGCAAATTGTATGTCGTCTATTATGATGATATGAAATATGGGGCTCGAGACCTTGGAGCCGATTAAAAGGCAGAGCGATGTGACTTAAGAATGTCGAAGATTAGCTTGGGATTTTGGAGGTTAGATGGTGCTTTATATGGTGCTATATAAGCCGATATCAATAAGGTGCAGTGATGCTTTGTGAGAGGTAATAATTGTGGCTGAGAGAATTGAATGACAATCAATAGAAGTCCTTGATACTGATTTTGTTTTTATCATCTTATGCTGCACAGTTATTGGATATCTGTTGTTCAAGCCTCAGATGATACGTGCGAAGACGTAGAAAACATAACTTCTGAGGCAATGGGAGATTGGGAGATTGGAAAATGGGGATTAGCTGCCATGTCACGTTTCTCACACAGTCTATTCACCAAAGATACATTATCGGAGATGGAATTCTTTCTTATTTATAAGCGCCCCTTCTTTACTCTCTGTCTCTCTGTTTGACCACAATTCACTTTTTTCCTTCCCGCCACAAACGTACGCAAGCTTTACAGGAGCCTATAAAATACCCTTTCTGGCGTCTAGCCACTTCTCAAGCACGCACACCAAGAAGAACTCAGAAAACGCCTAGGCTCGGTATCTGCCCTAGCTTCGAGTGGCCCATGATCAGCGGATTACATTTTAGACAATATAAGTATGGCATTCTGCGTCGAGTTATCATCGAGAGAGGCGGTCGAGATACAAGAAGTTACGATTTGTATGTGTATAACTTTGGTAGCGAGTAGAGTTAACCGACTTGGATATTGGCAGTGGAAATGATATCGACGCTCAAGTATTGTCACCGGTATGCTAAACAGTTCATGAATACGAGATTAAGAATAAATCACTGCAATCTTCTTTATCCGTCTTTTTGAATCTTTCATGATTTTCTTTGGAATACGGAGATGGGAAATCACAATCAAGATTATCTTACTTCTGAATCTGACAAGTTTGAATTGCATCTACATAAGATCGGTAATGCAAATCTGTCAACTACGCAAAGATAGAGAAGGGAAAGAAAGAGAAAAGGAGAAGAGGCGGGTTTTATAGACGGTAATATTTTTAGTACATGCTTAATATGGGGAGGATGTCACGTTGATATTATTTTCGCTTGTACTATCTTTATACGGAAAGTAATTTTCGACGAGAGGATATAGAAAGGGAGGTTTGAGCGTTCTTTAAATTCAGGGGGATTAGACTCCAAGGAGTATCTCAGCAAATTTACCGACACAGCGAATGCTACGGCTAGATAACTTACCTCTCCCATTCCAACTTCTTCAACCAGGAGACGTTGGTGTAGTCTCGCTGTACGTGGTGAATTAGTGTGCAGATTATACTGCACTGACAGTGAAAGCGGACGAAGTGAAATTGACAACGATATACTAATGAAAAAGGGGCCGCTAGCGAGACTGATGAAACGACGAAAAAAACAGTACCGCTATTCCAGTAATAACCCGAGAGTACTCTTTACTTCTTCTCAACTCCCACTCATTCTCTCAGATGCCGAGCACAAGTTGCGTGCCTTGTAAACCCATCGATTGGTCTCAGAACAACGTTAATCTACATACAGGATAAGAAGCAAAGCCAATGTATATCTTTTATAGCTAGAGATTTATCTGGCAAGCACCTATACAACTGGGTATTTTATTTCCTCCCATTATCGCATTCTCACAACTCAAACTGATGATTACTCGTGTACCTTTGCGCAAGGTATATCCAAACTCTCAGAGACCTTATTAAAACTGTCTAATTCAAACGCTTCTAATACTTCGTCAAATTTTAGAAACAGCCCCTACATCATGTATCAAGAATGGCGAATCCGGAAAATCCCCAATACATTAGATTGAACTGCACCAGAACGAATTCCGAAGTCTCCGTGTGTTTCCGAGTAAGAATATTCAAGGATTATTACAATAGTTAAAAGGTGTCTCGAACGTGGGAAGCTACAGTCGTTATAGTCTCAATGCTCTAAATGAAAGAAGCGGAATTTACAAACCCCCAATAACAACGCAAATGATTGTAGACTTGACCGCAATCAAAACTTCATATGGGCAGGACATATGCCGGCTTTAGGAGAGATATAATGGATATGGATTAGTGACAACAATGAAACCGCATTTTTGCCAACAGTCGGTGAGTTTTTTTTACGTCCCTCTGCCAAGCGAGTTTTGACTTGGACTATGCAGAACATCTCAGCGAACAGGTCATTTTTCCCACCACTTTTCCCGTTTTGACGAGCCTAAAAAGCGTTACATAGTAAGCGATGGAGGGACAAGGGGACAGGCGGGCTTAATTTCTTATATCCTGGCCCCAGAATATGATATCTTTCCTTAGTACAAATAGAAAGCGTGGCACTTTAAGCCTTAAAATTAACTAGCCGGCAGTGATCACCAAAACCACAGATACCATTGTTTGTCCACCCCAAAAGATTTCTCAATCTTATTCTATAAACACAATGACATAGATTCCAAACCGTATCACGCCAATTTTCACTCCGTCCCGATCGCCACCCCTTCGCCATCTTCCTTCTCACCCTCCCTAAGTCTCTCCTTTTCTCTCTGCTCCTCCTGTTCCTCCTTCCAATCCTTTTCATCTCCTATTCTTCTTAAAATCCTAATTCTCCCTTCCATCCTGGGACCTATCCACCACCCACCAGTTACTAATCTCCCCGCATCCCTGAGCAAATTGTATGTTCCAAATTTGTTCATTTCTTCAAACATCAATTTCGTCTTGAGATCAAGAAATCCCTTCCCTTCTCTATTCCTTTCCACATTTTGCGTCCCCTCTTCCTCTATCCTCTTGACATCCTCAGCACTGGGAGCTTCTCCCTCGCCCCCAACAGTGACATTATTCGCCCTATAAACCCCTTCCAACCTCTCCGAGAAACTGCTTCCATCCCCTGGCCTTAAGATCTCAATACCTGCATATGCAAATATCGTATCCAGAACATCCCATTTGCCAATCGCCAAACCAGGTTCTTCCATCAACGCATAATCGAACTTCATCCAGAAAGCTGCTTCTCCCAATTCGGGAGAATCTTCTGTTTTATCGTAGTTCAGCGTGATATTTTGATTTTGTGGAAAACGCAGTGGAAGAGATGGGTATTGTTGGAAACGGGTGATTCCTGTCATGCAAGACAGAACATCCATATGTATTGAAATATTTCGCTCTTGCGTGCGCTGTGTACGAGGAGATCTTGAGAGATCCTTGAGGATATGGGTATGAAGCTGGGAAAGAGCATCTCCGCCTGGATAATTGAAGGAAGATATCATGAGAATAGCCGATGAAGCTACAAGACTCACTGCGACGGATCCAAGCAAGGCCAAAGACCCAAAGGTATAAAGCCAACTTTTCGAACGACGAGTCCAGATATATGAAGCTGAGAGAGAAGCTGCAGCAGTAAGAGGCGGAATAACATAGATGATAAATCTGGACTCTTTATGAGGTTGTAGACTATAGATTGCAACGAATAAAAGCGAAGGAATAACTAAATCTTTCGAGGTGTGCTTCGTTGCTGGAAGAGTCAAAGCCAGAGGATGCAATAGCAATAAAATCAAAGGATTCATCAGTAAACGCGGCAACAACGAGGTAAAATAATGTAAAAAGGGAGAAGTACCCCACTCAGCAGACTTCCCCTGAATAGCATTGAAATAAAATCCGGCTAATTCTGGCCACAATGGCTTTTGCCAAAAGTATGAATCAATGGGCACTGATACAGCCAGAGCTAAAATAGCACTCTGTATACCAGCTGGAATGACTGTCTTTAACGATATCCTCGATAAAACAAGTAGATACGCTAATTGCGTGAAGAGTAACAGAGCAATTTCAGACCTGAATACTACACCCGCAAAGACGAAGAGGAATATCCCAACTCTGGGTCTACTTCCTCCTGTCGCTGGAAGAAACTCCGTGAATGCCAAAGTTGCTACATATAAATCAGTATTTTGACAATTCATCGTCAAGACCCAGAAGAGGGAGAACCCACTAAGACCGAAAGCAAACATATTAGGCAACGTCCTCGATGCATAATAAAGCACATGGAACTGCGTAACTTGCAACGCCATATACCATCTCCCAACATCCACTCCGAAAGCGCCGGTCAACCCATTTCGATATCTAATCAAACAGGCCGCATTGAAAAATCCCAACAAACCTCTAACAATAGGCTGTGCATATTTTCCTTGCGTAAGCAGTATAATGGGTTTAGAAACTGCAGCTAGAGAAAGTGCTCCGAAGAAAGTCCTCGGTACGGCCCCAGAAAAGGTAGTATGGTCGTAGGTATCTAGAGTAGTAGAGATGTTTGAGATAGGAAGGCCATAGTTTAGAATATCGTGAGTGGCTTGGATGTTGAAGGATTCCTCGACTTTGGTGTAGGGAGCTATGAGGAGGTGGATGAGGATTAGGGTAGGGAGGGAGAGGGTTAGAAGGATATCTAATGGAAATTAGTATAACAGATTTAAAATAGAAAGAGAGGCAGGATGAGCGTACCTATTCCCTTCATTTTATCTCTCTCTCAAAGAATATATGCAATAAAGAACGAGGCTGTATCTCAAGAGCTATGAGAGCTCCAAATGAGGAGCAAGCTTCACCCACTCAACTTTCTTCTACAAGATATACTTTTTGAGAATTGGCCAGCGAAAGTGAATATTTACAAATTCAAGAAATCATCATAGTACGATATCTCAACCCTCAATGAATTATCTCAATTCGAAGATCACCAGAAGAAAACAAGATATAAAGCAAATAATCCCCCAACATCACAAAAACCACAATTCAATAGCCACGCAGCGTCAGCCTCGTCTGGTCTGTGCACGATTCCAAGCTTGTGTGGACAACTTGACCTCTTCATTTCCACAGCCTTGTCTATAAGTAACCACCTCCTCAACTTATATCAGATCAAACAAGACAATTATATATCAGCACAACCACAGAATTTCTCACAATGTTCTTCATATTCGGAAACCTGATTTACAGTATGTGTTCCGATTCCCTCGCATCAATTTCCGACGCGCGCGCAAATCATATACACACAGCCATACTCTCTGTCTAGATACATGCGCATGCGATGCGTGATATAATCCGAAGCATCGCATATTACATATACATCTATATACTGATACATTTTCCTCCTCTTTAGTTATCGTTCTTCTCACCAATGCCGTCGCAATCTTATCGGAAGATCGTTTTCTTGCACGCAGTTAGTTTTCCGTTCCCTCCACCTTATTCTCAAACCCAATCTCTCATTCCAACCCGAGACCCTCGGTCACTGTTCCCTCCACTAACCCAACAAATAGTCGGATGGTCCAACTCCGTTGCCGAACCAGCCTTTGGCGGAAACAGCGCAGACGCGAGTATTAAATCAAAACTAGTGAATTTGATGACGAGTGTTAGGACGCTCATGAGGAGTATGTTTTATTTTTCTCTCCCTATCAATCCCATTGCTGTGAAATTGCGCACTTGTGAATTAGCGGAAGGATAGAATGTCGCAGGATTTGGAGGGGACGCAGAAGAAAGGGGAGGAAGAGAGCAGGAAGTTGCGTGGAGAGTACGCGGAGGAGAGAGATCGATATAAAGGGGATAAGACTTGAAGGGCGAAGACAACGAACAAAAGAGAAGAGAGGCGCGCAAACCACCAAGTAAACAAACTAACATACCCTCACAGCCCCCCTGATAGGCATCAACTCCGTAATCATCATCTACGAATTAGCCTTAGGATGATTCAATGCGAGTTCGAAATCACAAATCCAGATTTCCATTCTAGACAAGCCGCCACAATCTAATGCGCGCGCCAAAGAATATGGATATGAAGGATAAACATCAAGGGAAGCACTGTTCAATGGTAACTAAATGATTGCGCATCGAAGATGGAGTATTGGACATTGAGTGTAATAACAGAAGGGTACTTCTTTTGAGACTTTCAGACGAAAAAGTGATCCCTTTACCGACCGAGATAGGGGGTAGTGAAAGAGAAAAAAAGGAGAGAAAGGACTCAAAAGCGCATATACCACAGAACACAACTGAACTGAATATGATTGGCGTTTTTATGTATTCATGCATTTAGTAAGGCCAGCGGAGAGATAGAGGAGTTCGAGGATCATAAGTCAAGGCAGATTTCTAAGAGACATCACAATGTCATAAAACACCCTCTGTAATTTCCATTTTATGATATTCAATATCTCATTTTCAATCCTCGACTACCTGCTATTTACAAACCGTACATGACTAGCCGTATATCCAGCCCATGCCTCTCCAAAAACTTTACAGTATATGTGTAACAGATAGGTATGGTATATGAGGTATATGAGGATCAAAAGAATATACAAGCACCATAGGCAACAAATCCACACATTCTTTTCCCCACCCCTTCCATTTCCTATTTCACCCGAAACCCCCTTTCCAATGCTCGCTATCCTATCCATAGCATGCGTGCACAAATACGTGCAGACACGCAAGCAAGCATATAAAGTATAAATAAAACAAAGTTCAATATCAACCATGCGTCCATGCGAATATATTCCCACACTCAATATCCATACCAACTCCCAATCGCAAGTCTCACACGGGACCCAAATATTTCTTTCTCGACATTTCTCAATCAACATCAAGAAAAACAGCCTAGTCCCGACCCGGACCCTTTACGCCTCTCTCTCATCTCCTTGATCTCTCTCTTCTCATCATCCCCTGCAAAATTGTCAGATAGATACATCCTAATTATCCACAGTCGGACTCCACATATTACTCTTCTTCCGTCCCAATCCAAACGAAAATCGTGCATTTTTAACCTTCTCATGTCTCTCCGGTGTTTGCGGGCCCGCCGTTCCTTCAACCACCGTATTGTTGCTCGATTCGGGTATAATGTTATTTTCTTCACTCTTTTCCCCATTCTTCTCCTTTTCCTTCTCTCCATTCTTACTTAAAAATCCAAAACTCTTTCTACTCATACTCTTGCTTCCTTTATGACTTCTATTCAGATTTAAACTACCAAATCCCTTACCATCACTCTTCTCGCTGCCATTCCCATTATTATCCTTTTGGATATTGACTTCCGATTGTCTTCTTCTGATTTCTTCAATTTCCGTTTGTTTGCTGAGAGCAATAGCCCTTTTCGTTTCCGCTTCTTGTGCTACTTTAATGGCTTTCTCGGCTTCTTTAGTTGCCTTTTCAGCTTCCTTTCTCTCTTTAGCTGCAGCCTTTTCAGCGGCCTTTTCAGCAGCCTTTCGAGACTTTTCCGCTTTCTCGGCTTCTTTCTCGGCTTTCTTTTCTCGCCCCTTTTCTCGCCCCTTTTCTTCTTTAGATTTAGACTTGAAGGTATCGAGAGGTGAAGAAGGAACTCGAGTTGGAACCGGATTGCCCGAAATAGGCGAAGTTACCAGAGGTGCTGTTAGTGCATGGTCGAGGGATCCAAATCCATTAGTGTCGCTATCGATTGGTGTGCTAGGTGTTGCTAAAACCTGTTTCGAGTTGGAAGATAGAGAAATGCCGTTTTGTTTAAGCTGCCCCGATGAAACATCTGCTAATTCAGAAGCAGTAGCGATTAGATCGAGACCTTCAGCTTCTTGATCTCTTCGCATTGCCTCCACTGTAGTTTCTCGATAGAACAACACATAGGCGCAAGCTTGTCCCGGTTTGTCCCCAAAGAATTGTCGCACAAAACTTTTGTCTACCGGTTCTACCATCTCGTCGTCAAAAAGTAACCAACCTCTATCCTCAGTCTTGATTACAGCAACATAATGTCCGTGAAAGGCGTTTGTGCCAATATGTACCACCACGGCGTAAAGTTCATACAGTCGATCAGGATCCTCCGCATCATCAGTTGTGTTGAACATGCGTAAATGATATGGATAGTTGACAGTGTAAAATAACTTTTGTAATCGGGTTAGATCATCAGTCCACTTGAATCTCTTCAGGTGAAGCACCAAAACTTTTGGCAAAGTTTTGATCTTCATACGTTTCTCGGCTTCCTGTAAACCACCGCAAGTATCGCAATGGAATTTATTCTTCTCGCATAGCATTTCCTCCGCCGAAAACTTTTGCAAACAAGACGTAACGGAAGAGTTCTTCTCCAAATCAATTGAAAGGTCCAGGAATGTCTCATCGCGCTGTGATGTAGTTTCGCATGTCAAGCACTTCGTTTCCGAGACCATCTTTCCTTCAAATATATCATGAACCCATTTTGTTCCTGGAGATTGCGCTCCACTTGCCAAGCCCATGGAATCCGCAACTGATCGTACAGCAGCTGTCATTGAATCATTGAGTCCTTCCTTTTCTTGAAGCGCTACCGAGTCTTTCAGGCGTCGGGCATTGTCTTCGACGTTATTGATCACTGCATTAAGCATCAATCCATAAAATTCGTGAGCATCTTGGTGCATCGATGTCCGAAACATCTCATTGTCTCTTCTGAAAACTTCCAGGAACCTTTGGGGGCTTACAACACCTGTCCGAGAAGGATGTGATATCATAGCCGTAAATATATCCTTCAAGGCTGTAAAAGTCGTTTCCTCCATGCCATATGAACTCGCATGTTCCGTGGTGATTTCTAATATCGGGCCTGCCATCATCGCGTGTTTCTTCTTGTATTCAGGCGAATCTGGCTTGTCTTCTGGTCGATTGCCTGTTGCGCCAGGTCCGGGTTGGCCAGAGTTCACACCTTGTCTTCTCTTCAGGGCTTCAGCAGCCGATATGCCTTTTGGTTTAGCCGTCGACAATGGCACTCCGTTCGTTGGCGGAGCTCTCGTGGGAACGATTAATTTTGGTAAATGTCCATTGGGGGTATCAGAAGGGGAATGCGGTGGGTATTTAACAACATTTTCTCTAAACGGGACTGAATAGTATAGCGCCTGTAAAATCGAATTGGCATAACTGAGATGTGTTAGTATTATTGGGATAGGATCAATCTCAAAACACGAACCATGTGTTTCCGAACTAATTTCAAGAAGTTAGTATAAAGCAATTGAGAAAAGATTCGAGGGAGAGCATACATTTTCTAAACCAAAGAATTTATCACTTCCGTCCGGCCGTATGGGACCAGCATTCTGTAACATCTTCACCAGTGGAGTAATTTCGGGTTCAGGCTCTACATCTTGACCTTTTCGACCTGTATTTCCATTTCTGTCCGTCTATACAAAAAGCCAATTGTCAGTAAATGCTACCATTCAGAGATTCCTCGATCCTGACTGCGCCGGAACTTCCTCCGTAATGAACATCAGACCCGCATCATTCCGCCACACCATCAAGACGAAAGGAAAGAATTGACTAACAACCGGCGAAAGCATTCGAATTATAGACGTCATATTTCTGGTATTCCGACCTCGTCGGTGATTCTCGACCTTGTCCTTTACCGTTCACGGTTCGCGCGGCGCGACAGAGAAACCCAAAAGTATTCAGTGGTTATTTTGAGTTGTACTCATGCGCAAATGGTTTATTCGAATTCGAATAGTTTGTAGCAGAATTGATCTTCATCTGCAGAAAGCAAAGCAAGCTTAAAAAGGAGAGTGATGAGATGGTTCGCTGATTCTAGTGAGTATTCGCACCAATGCTGCACACAAGAGGCGTAAAACGTGGGGTGGAAGCCTTGTCTCTTCAGGAGGTCAGATTTATGGTAAATGATTGGAATAATTTACCAATCATTGATATTATGTGTGAATGGGAATGTGATTGTGATTCCAAGATCCCAAGATCAGAGGATAGAAATGAATGTATGTGAATTGAGATGTGTGTACTGTAGATTGAACGAATAAATCTAGTGGAGATAATGTAATACCTAAGTTGAATGGGAAAAACAGAAAGGCGTACCTGTAGGATGGGTGGATGGATGTATGGGTGTATGGATGGATGTATGTATGGACGGAGTGTGAAGAAGTTCCTAGGTCTGGTTTGATCGAGCCTTGGTCATGGCTTGGTCTTGGATGCTTCGATGCTTGAAGGATGGGGAGGGAGGGCGCGCGCGAGAGTGAGAGAGACCATTGAATGACCTAAGCTTCTTTGGCTTCGATTCTACTCATCCGAGTCATCGTCCAAGTGAATTATAGATTAGAAATTTACTTTGCTAATAATAATTATCTTGCTTGTAATATTAAGAAAGGAAAGAAGAGGCTAATAGAAGAGAAGATACATTGGGTATATTATCAACTTGATTATCTAGGTAGTAGGGAATTATTCATATTCCAGTTAAATCTCTAACTACAAAGTTACAATTTCAATACATCAGCTAAAACTACTTACTCCCTAGCATCGTAAAACCCCAAACTTGAACTCAAAAGTTGTCGACGCTTACTGGCCGTTATAACAAGTGTTATTCTACAGAATCTCTGCTTCAATACTGGCTTGATGCGTGGATGAAGACTACTAGGAAGAGACAACTTGTACAGTGGTTGAATAGACATACATATCTCTCGATTAGCAGTTTATATGGTGGTGAATACAACTAACTCGATATCTTTCTTAATACTCGCCAACCCTCCAGACTCCCTCTAATGAACCGTTTGTTTTTGATGCTATTGTACCTGCACAATAAATTAAAGGAGAGGATGCTGAGGTGTGACTTCTAAGCTGTACCACAAAGCCAAGCTTCCTTTGACGAGGAAGAAGTGAGAAAGAAGGTCGAAGGGAAGCTGTAACTTCGCAACACTCCCCGATGCAAGTCAAAAGCCACTCTCTATAATGAGCATCCCTCTAAGAGTTTGTACCACCAGAGAATGTTATGAATATGCATCTCATCCATCTTACACCCAATCAATTATATTCCTTCTGCACCTTCTTACTTCTGCAGGATCCAAGCCGATACGATACGCCTTCGCATGCTCGCATAAAGGTAGCTAGAACCTACTTACACTGACCTACTTGGCTTACTTCTCAAAGCTTCTTTTGTCTTTTTCTCCCCATAGCCCAAATATCTATCTTCCGCCAATAAGCCATCCAACAAATTCCAAATCTCTATCTGTCCTCGTTTAAAACTCATCCATTCTCTCCCAACGGAGTACGCTCCGCACCACATCTACAGTGTATATACTCTGTACATAACTTCCCTCCAGACCACACCTCGTGAAGAGTCAAGGATCAGGGTCATGCACCCGCTCACATCCCCTCCCACCACGTTATTTCGAGGTTCTTGTGGTTCCATTTGGGATCAGACTGTGGGGTCAATGACTAGCCATTCGAGCCAGTGAAAAACTTGGAGGGAAAATCCGGAGTCAAAACTTTCTTATTGGCTGGACCTTGAGTTTTATGTATGAGAAGATGTGTGTGCACTCGGGAAAAAACCGATGTTACTCAATGGTTTGGAAGCCGGGGTTTCATTTAGATGGGGTTTATTTTTATACATTTGGGTAGGTATGTTGAAGTTTCGAAGAATGGTGAGAGCTAGCGATGCAATTGAGAAGGTATTCACATATTCTACAAGAACACACTTGCGTACTTATTCAACGAAACATTGAATTATTCCTAGCAAGCAAGTATCCGCAATGACGAAGCCTCCCATGCAAGGACGGAGCTCGACAAAAACCATATCCAATCGCCTTTACCCCATCTAATTCTCCACGGCCCGGATATTTACAGTGGCATATGATCAAGAATCAGGATGGGATACAACTGTTTCTTAAGCCGATTTTGATACGGTACAATTGCATTTTCTTACTCGTCGCATTCTTTGATTACTTGATTACTTGTCTATATACTACACCCTCAAAGTACCGAGTAGACGATCGATCATTTGTTCTGCTCGGCAAAAAGTTCCTTCAATAGAAATTCGGGAGACTCGCTAGAAGATTTCTAGAAAAGTGTTATGCAGCGACTATCAGCTATCAAAACGGTTCCCTACCGCTGCATGTCAAATCGACCATCACATTCATCATACATATCTATCTAACTCCATACACCCAAGATCAGCAACGTCAAGTCGAATTACGAAAACACATTTCATCATTCCGCCATGATTATTCTTCCGCCTTGAAAATAATCCGACGATTAAACAAGTACTAAAATCGGGCACTACCCGCTTCCCCATTAACAACCCCCTAGTTTCTCGGATATTCTACTCCTTCATGTTTTCCATCTTCTCACCAATTTTGTCCAATAAATCACACGAGTACCTACGGAGGAGTATGACTCGAAACACTTACCCACAATCCTCCTCGCACCACCACATTGTACAACCAAAACTCTTCAAGAAACCACAATTGCTTGGCACAAAACACCATCATACCTAAGAAACAAGCATAATAACACTCAACAAAGCAACTTCATTCATACATACCTTAGCATCCTCGGTACCAAAAAACCCACCCCCTTCCCAACTTCCACTCACTCACTCGCCTACACACTCACCACCCATTTTACCCATCCAAAGTTCCAAACCCATCCACCCCCTCCTGGCTCCCCAGCCCTCCAAACCAACCACCCATCGGCTCTCCTTCCTATTACCACCTAGCACTTACCACCCACCATCACATATGCACGCATCTCAAAATTCACACTCCAACATCCACCAGTGATCCAATCCAATGTCCAATATCCATCCATACCGCCAAAACAACCAGCAACACCTCCGTAATTCATTCCTAAACAAATCGTCTGCGACATACAGACCCGATACTTTGGTTCCTAGGTCATTATACGAAGTACAACACGCACACATATGTAAAGTTTATGTACTGTATGTAGTTCCATTATAATACCATCTTGCTGAATAGCCGATGGATTGTGAATGGATGGGTTTTTGTTTCTAAGAAAGGAAGGAAGGAAGAAATGTTGGGTATCTAGGTAGGTAGATTAAGTATCTAGGTACATACTTGTTTACTTATCCATTGTAGCGAAGATGTATTCTGTATTCTGTATTCTATAGTAAGCCACAAACGAAATATATTATCGAAAACGAAAACGATATCTCAGAAAAATCATGATGAGAATGTGAGATAGGCAGTGTTAATACTTGTATCTAAGTGTATAATATCTATCCATCTATGATTATTCTAAATAATTTATTCTCGTAACTCTATATACGACTTCTTGTGTATTTATCTATTTAATTACTTATCTGTTCGTTTGCTTGCTTATCTATTCATTCATCTATTGTTGTAGTTTTACTCACGAGGAAGGTGTTTTATAATTTTCTCTGCTCCATCTAAGATGACAACAGGTATATGAATATCATATATTTATACACAATATCCCTTCTAATCAGTTCCAGCTTTCAAGATCTTCACCCTCTACAAGTAGCTGTAATAATCGAACAATCAAAAGTTATTCATATCGATTAGCTATTTTCTTCTTGTCTCGAGTATTCTTCAGGTGGATAGATATCTATCACCACTCCTTTTGCGTTCACAATCTAGGCTATTACAAGATAAGAATATCAAACCAACGTTAACATAAACGTTATCTGACTACCCACTACTACTAGTGAAGTCTTGCATACATACATACATACAAGCATGAATGCATCATCTATTTCTCATTCCAACCTATCCTATCCCCTCCCCCTCCATATTCTCCCAAAGAACATCGCTTAAGTCTCTCCTCCCCTATCATACCCATCCATTCACCTATCGTATTTATCATGTTTCTTTCTCCACCCCATTTTAAATCCCCATCCTGTACACGCAAACTACTCTCTCCCATTTTGTTTTCCATCCCAAGCCCGCTTCTTCATCCACTCTCTTCGCCTCCGCCCCTATAGTAAAGACAAGTGCATGAACCAACGAAAAAGAGCAAAAGGCTCGCATTAAAACCACTAATCCCCATCCGATGCACCGCCATCCCGCTCTGTGAGAAAATTTGGAAAGATCCTCGGAAAGCCCAAAAAAAGTCGGACCCCCGACTAAACGCCATGCCACCCAGCTTCATCAATAAAGTTTTCTTTTTACAGCTTGTGTTGCCCTCCGCGCTCCAAAATCTCCGCTTCTTCTCTGCCTCCGCCTCTAAATTATAAAAGGAAAGAGGGGAGGCCTAACGCTATGTAAAGTGAATGTCGCCTCCAGCCTGCCACCACCCCCCATATAATGTTGTATTGTAACAAGGTGAAAAAGAAATATAAAAAAGGCATATTCGTATCTTCCCATAACGTAATTATCTCTCATTCGAGTTCGTGCGCCTATGCATGCATGCTTGAAAACCATTTATATCATTGCCCCATCTCATTTGTCCTAAGCAAAATTTACTAATCGATTTCTACCACTTCTCTCTTAACCGCCCTAGGGTTCATGGGTTGACCGGAAGATTTTCTCTTCAACATGTTCTGGTTCATATTCAGATTCATGGTCATATTAGGAGTTGGCATCCGCTGTTGTCCTTGGCTACTTCCTTGACTTTGTGGATGATTCTGAGAGTTTGCTGGCGTGGGTAATTGTAATTGTCTCTGCTGCTGGGAGTGCGAAGGTTGTTGTCCTTGTGGTCCTACAGCTTGTACTTGCGTATTCGTTTGTGATTGTTGCGATGGTTGAATTGCAAGATCTTCTGGAGAGAGGTCTCGCATCACTGCATCAATCTTCTCGAGACAGGTTTCAATGCCACGATTACGGCCAACTGCGCTGGTACGCATGCCCTTCCAGTCATCATCTCCTCGGGAGTCCCACACTGACTTCAAACGGAGATCAATTTCATCATCCGGAACTGCATCTCCTCTTACGCCCTTATCAGTCTTTTCCGTACGACGGACAAGCCACCATGGTTTTTGCTTGCGATGACACATTTTGATTTCAAATGAGACTGCTCGTGGAGGCATATTGGGAGTGCTTGGCTTGAAAACATAATGTAGTCTAAACCACTCAAAGGCCCTGACGAACACGAATACTTCGCCTTTGTCATGAAGAGGGCCCCAAGCATTTTCTATCGTTTCAAAAGCTCGCAAAGAATATAGAGTTTGTGGAAGAAGAGTCGCAACGGCAT